TGGAAGGAGGAATTTTTTGGTATTGTCCCCCCTTCCCCTTTTTCGGCCATAAAAACAAATGAAAGTTCGGAGCGGCACCACGGGAGGGAAGCATTTCCATCCTTATTTCGGCCTTGGGGGAAGCTCCTTAGGGCGGGAACGCCCCTTCACCCAGTCTTTTGAAAGGGGGAAGTTCCCAAGGCCATTCCTTTGGGCCCACTGACGTTCATATTTCCTCACGGGCAAGGATTTTCAAGGGGTCATATTAATAGGGATTGGCAATTGTTTTCGGGGGGCTGCCATATTTCCATGGGCAATCCCTTCTTTTTTGTGGGGTTTTTCCATATTGCCCCACTTGGACCCTTTGGGGGGGGTCCATTCCCCAGCGGGAAATTTTTAAAAACAATGCCCATTTTTCACGTTATATGCAAAGGCCCGGGTGTGCTTCTTTCCCTTTCCCTTTCGCAATTGTTTTGTCGTTTTTTTAAGTTTTTGGGGTTTTCCAAGGAATAACCCCCAGGGGACTGGGGGGACGTTTTTGGCCGGGGGGGGACCGGGGGGGGGGGGGGGGGTCCACAGCGGAAATATGGCCCAAGACCACGTTGCAGGGTATTTGAGAAGGAGTCTTGGTCTGTGTGATTCTGTGTGGCATAGTACGGCGAAAAGACCAATACCTCATACGCTTGCACAAGCTTGCCCGCCTATTGTGCAGGCCTAGCCAGCAAATCACAAACGTTTCACTTGCGCACCCCTACCTGGACTCTGCACCCAGTTTCACCCTGCTGCTCGTTCGCAATCCTCCTTTGGTGAAACACATTCTCATCAGCGATGTTTGCAGATGACGCCGGACTTCACTGGCCTCCAAGGCCTCGCCAAGCACAGCTTTCACAACTTCCGCCAGGTGCAGTGGACCCTTCCGGAACGTGTTCCCTACCACAGGGAAGCATCCCCATCGTATGCCTCCTTCTTTCGAATCCTATATATATGCGTCGCGGTCTTGAAGTCACGAACGTTCACGTTCACGCCTGGCGATTTTCTGATCCGGGTTCACACGATGCACGTGCTTGATGCTGAACAAAACGTATCGACCCAGGTGCTGTTCGCCTACCGAATGTGCACGGGTGAACTGGCGGGGCCAGCCGGAAAACTCTCCCGGTCGCTGGACGGCTCGCCCCTGCTGCAGAACACGAACCCGTGGGACATCCTTAACACTCTGCGCCCGCTGAAGGCCAAGGTGTGTGCCCGTATCCTAGCCCTGGCCAGTGCTCGAGACCCGTCCTGAAGTATAGGTCCTCGCGTGTGGATATTGGTCATGTCTCGCAAGTTTGCTTGCGCACAGCGTTAGTGTTGTGCCAGCCCGATCGTGTGATAAAACCGGCGTGCCCCTCTCCGGTCTTGTAGAAATACGAGATAGATTATCCAACATCAATGAACGGCATTCTGAACATAATTGCCCCCTTTTGTTGCTGCTGTTGATCCTGTCACTGTCGCTCCCGTCGATCTTCCTCTCTCTTTTTGCTCCGTGGGAGGACCTAGGGGGTAAGCGTGGGGCCCAGCGCGAGGGCATCTAAGATGCTCGCGGTGCAGCTCAAGAGCGCCGTGACGGTGTTCGGGGGGAAGGGATCCAGCGGGATGCCTCGCGTTGCGTTCGAGTTAGAGGTGAGAGTACAGACGGACTTGATGGATGAGGTGCAATAGGACATGCGGAACCATCGTTCCTGCTCTGCTGTCTCGCTTCGCTATGGCCTCTTCTCGTAGATATACCGTCGCTAGGCGTCCCCATCTTTGCCCGTGGTTTAGCTTTTTTCGTGTGGGCAACCCACCGCGCTCCCGATAGAGCCCGCCGCCCCTTTTGGTTCCGCCACCTAGCGACATCACACGTACTAATTTCATGCCCCGCCCTTACCCTCAACACAACGACAAACTCCTCGCCAATCCTTCCGTTTTCCCTGCACCAAATCACCAATGCTGTCGGCAAACATAACACAGGTGTCGTATTGTATGCGGATACATCGCGTGGAGAGGTTTCTGAGCGACTTTGAGCAGCTGCACGCGAGGTTGGCCGCCGAGCTCATCATCCTGCCAAACTTTCCCGAAGGGGGAGAGATCGCTTCTCTGTTGGGTGCGTGCACGGGGGATTAGGTCAGCACTTGTTCGACACAGACGCACGGAGCTCCTTGGGGAGACGAAAAATCAATTGCTGTGGGGGGGGTGGTTTTAGCGACCCCTAGTGTCACGACGAAAAGTAGCAACTATTCAGGGAAGGCCGCTAAACCGAACTACAGTGTAACAATATCATGTCAGTTTCACTACTGGAGTGCAGCGGTGCCACGTGATTTTGTGGTCGCTAAACAAGGTATGTCGCTAAACAGGGGATCGTCGAACCGAGACCCCAACTGTATCTATATCTGGGTTTGCTGCTCGGTTTGGAAGTTCTTGATTTGGTGCAGACGCACTGGGTCTCTTCAGATCCGGTTTCGTTCAAGGAGTGAAACTGAACGCGCGCCTGCCTACTTGGTGACATTTCAAGAAGTAGAGCAACAGAGAACTCGAGAAGGTTTGATAGTCACGACAGCGCCCTGCTGGTCTCGGGGGAGGCGGTCGTTGGCCCAAAGCATAAAATTATTTGATCGAGTTCTGTCCGCCCCCCCCCTCAACACTAACTCTTAACCCTGAAATCCGCCATATTAGGAGGGAAGCAAGAGTTGGGACGAGAGCTGTGCGCCTATGTGCAGAGGGTTCACACGCTGCTGGCGAAAAGAGGCGTTTTTAGTCCGAGAGTCATGGAATTTTTGAAGGTGAGAGAAAAGAGGGTTGCCCTTGCGTTGTCACCTACCACAGGACGTTTCCAGAGGCGTACAGTTCCACAACGTCTTGTTTCGCTGTCCTTGGTGGTGTGGTGGTGGTGGTGGTGCTGCCACCCTTCTGCTGCGGCTTTATCGCTTTAGTGGTTGTTGTCATTTTCGTCGTATTTTGTGTTGCTGTGGTGTGCGACATACTCCGTATTCTTCTACATAGTCGCGAAACGCTTGTTCTCGCCACCTCTTGGTCGAGCACGGAGGAAGCGGCTTTTCGTCACGCACATGCACATGACGAACGAGGATGGCAGAGAAAAAAAACACACCATAACTAGGCAACGATGACCACGACCATTGCCAGGTTGACTTCGGCAGGGTTCACATCGAGGAGGAGGGGCGGGTCGTGAGCGAAAACCTCGATAGCCGAAACCTCTTGCCCGATACGTGCTGGCAGGTGCGGCCGCTGCTTGAGTAGAACAAGTTTGAAGGTCGATCATCATCACCTCGCACGGGCGCGGCTCACTCGCTACGAAACCATGGGTTCCGACCTGCGACCCGGCGCCACGCCCATGTTGTGGTAGTATTGCTGCGTAGTGTTCCCGTGCCCGCTGAAGCCGCATAGAGGAATAGGCCGTGTGCCTTCTGTGACGGGATGCCCCACGCCAGAGCACCGGGGTCCTCGACCACTGAAGAACACGTTCACACCTCCAAAATTGAAAAAAAACTCAGGTATAACTCCGCTACATCTCATCGACCCACACCCGTCGTGATGTAGCAACGAGAACATAGATACACCTCTGATTCCACACCCGTGCTCTAGATAGCAGATGCTGACGGCATTCACGCACCCCACGGAACGTGTCGCGGTTTCGACAATACACGTTCACTCTCCGTCAACCGACCCCGTGACAGATCCCTGACATCCAACCTGAAACGCTTCTATTCAGACAAACCCGGCAGAAGACAGGTGGCTCGTGAAGCCGAGAGAAGAGCTCGTGCGGGAAAACCTAATGCAGCGCACATCCACCAAGCCTTTTCCAATTTTTCAACAAAGGCCAGATGCCGCACTGTCTGAATGATCGAGGCACGCGTGTAGCAAACACCCGTCCCGCCACGCTACGGTCGCCGCCAGGTGGTAGAAGAGGACTGGCTGGTGAGGTGGACAAAGTTCGTCCTCGGGCGAGGGGCCCGTCGGTATCACGCTCCCGGAGAGATAGACAACCGGTCGCTCCTTGATGCGCCAAACAAAGCTCGGAAGGTAAACTCGCTTGTTAGTCCGAGCGAAAACTGACGTGTTTTGCTTGGGGACAGAGGCAGCAGCGGTTCGGTGCTTCGCACGCCCAATAGCAAACGTCGGACGAGTGGAGTGGTGAAGCCAAGGAAACGCGCTTCGGTCATAGAGTGGTTGTGATCAACTGTTCCGATGGTCTCCGTTGCATTCAAAGCGCAAGTACATACGGAACAGGGCGATAGCGTCGTAGTCATCTTGATTGCAGCCTCGGCACGCGCAATATTCGCTCACTCTATGCATGCAGGGTTTGGTGCTCGGGGAAGACTACCGCTTGGTGAACTTCAACGTTTGGACGTACTGGCTACTGGTGTACGGCGGCGGGCCGAGCATCGGTAGAGCCTCCAAGGACATCTACGGCCGCTCGGCAATAGGTACACGCCTGTTTCTTGGTTGGAGTCTTCGTAATAAATTGATCCCCCGTTCTTTCAGGTTGTGTTTTTTGTGGTTGCGGTGGGCCTTCGGGCGATCGGTTGTCAACAGCAGCTGCGTTGACTCGGTCATTTCTCCTTAGGGTAGCCGTTCGACATCTTTAAACGCATTGATAGCTGGGCTCCGCTCCTACTGCACTTTTCGTGCCAAAGACGCCACGCGACCGCCCGCGCGTCATCCCATAAACACGAGCTACAGACCTACCTGTGGCAAGCCCTGCCTCCAGGATAAATCCGCCGAACACGAAATATTCCCCGCCGCCGTCTTCGGCAGGCAAGCACGCTTTCTTGATCGCCTCGATGAGCTGTCTCAGTCGTTTGCTGCCTCGTTCTCCTTCTGGCGGCTACCGATAATTCACTCTGGAAACACGCAGCGTACCCGACGGCGGTAGTGAATATTCAAGCGAGCATCAGGGGTTTCCTGGGGAGGAAGCGGGCCTGGCGGGAGTACTTCTCTAGACTTGCCATGGAACACGCGGGGGCAAAAGAGGTAAGTTTTTGTGAGACGAAACACGAATGGAATTATTTCATCCGACTGGTTCGTTCTTTGCATTTTTGTTTTGCCCAAGGTACAATGGCTGAAAAATTGAAGGAATGCGAGTATCTCGCCTCACGCATCTAGAATATGAAGGTGGTGTTTGTTGTCTATTTTCTTCATGCGAGAAGTCAGCGATTTTCCTGAACGGAAACGCTGGAGCGCGTCCCATGGGACTGGCAAGGCAAGGCACAATGGCGACCAAACTACAGCTCCCACGGGGCTTCAAACGAAACTTCTCTCTTGATACTGCGTTAGCCCCGTATAGGTGCGGGTGGGCTTCGCGCCCGCTTAGCACCGCCATGATCGGCCTGGGGGACGGGGGTGGGTGGGGAGAAGCAGTTGACTACTCCGGTACAATAACTGCATGCGGAAATCAGGGTGAATGTTTTAATGCCGCGGAACACCAGGCGCTCTATGAGAGGAGATTGCATGACATCCAGGAGGCGGCGCTGGCGCACATAGAGACGGCAAGGCGGGAGAGGAAGAAGGGAAGGATGACGAGGGCAGCCCTCTTCACCCAGGTGTGTCCGGCAAGATGAGAATGAATTTATTTTTTTATCCTTGTGATCGGGGCGGACTTGATGGTGGAATCTCGGTGGTCTCACTCCCTCACGCATGCCGCCGTTTCTTTCGCATAGTCAATGGTGTTTGCGAGTGTGTCGCTTCTTGCACAACGTGAGGAATGGTCTTGGTTATCTCAGTTGGAGTTATGGGCATCGGAATGCTGCCATGCATCAAGACGCTGAGATGTAGCGTCGGCAAGAGAAAGATGGCCGGTGGCATCGTTGATTCGATTTCTCGCCCTTCCTTGTTGATCCTTATTTTTATCGTTCAGCAGCCATACAAGCAGTCCAGAGTGATATTTACAGGTATTTCATCCACGCTGGATACGAGCCTCACCACACCGTACCGCGTCATGCTGTGGGACAACACCCCGAACTCCCACACGGTTCGCACATGTACCAAGGTGGAATGGCGCCGAAAAAAGGGCTACACGTACCAGGTGGACAGGCTGGAGACGCAGCAGTACATCCAAGACGTCTTCGAGAGGGCCGACAACACCGTCAGCGTGAGTGTTCACCAAGCTACCCTTACCCTCCCCCTCCCCAGAGTGGTTTGTGCTGCCAGCGTCCACAAGGCAGGCCGAAGCACAAACTACACCGCTTGCTTCCACACTGTCCATAGTTCTAAGAAAGAATTCATCGTCCCCATCCATCGCTGGAGTGACGTGTAGAACGGCCTCCGTTTTTCCCGACGGGTGCTAACGAATAGTATCGAGTCTACGCTTTTCTATTGTGCCCACTTCATCTTCAACACGCGCAGCGAATATATTCCAAAAAGCGTCTTTCGAGAGGGTGCGAACACGATACAACGTTTCGACTCTCAGGCCAACGAAACGTTTCTGGCAAGCGATGAAAAACAATCGCGTCCTTGTCGCGTCTTCTTTATTTTTCAATTTTCGTGGCGTCGTCAACGCAGGAACCACCAAAGAACAAGCCCATGGTGGTTCGAGAAGTGAAGAGTATCGTCAACATCGGAGGAGCAGAGGTGAGAAACGAATTCCGAAACAATAACAGCAACAACAACAAGTATTCCAACGTATCACGAAAATCAGAGCTTGGAACTCTTCAACTCGTGCTATTTTTCCTCCCCCCCCCCCCGGTGTTTGCAATCGGAGTTGGGTTTTCGTCGCTTGGCAACGACGTTGTAAAACAAGCCCCCCCCTCGGTGTTTGCCATCGGGATTAGGTTTTCGTCGCTTGGCAACGACGTTGAAAAACAAGCCAATTCAATTCGTGAACTCGGCAACCAAGTTACCGTTTTTTCTTTTTACCTCTGGTTATTTTTTTTGCGGTAACCATAATGGTGGTCGAGTAGATCATGTTGTGCGGGGTCGAGAATCCTCACTTCGCGCAAGGGGGATGATCGCACTACGTTGTGTTAAAATGGAAAGGCATCCTCGAGGCAGTTACACAGTGCTTGTAACTGTCTCTGGAAGTGAAAGCACCAGAAAATAAATCAAGTCATACGCAGCTGTCATCCGTACGCAAGGAAGTAAGCACAAGATGCCGAACACCCTTAGCACGATGCAGCGCACCCTTCATGCGACTCGCCGAACACCTCACGGCGCTTCGCGCTTGGTGATGCGAGAGCCTGGTCCGGGGAGAACCCGGCGTGCTCCGTCCCGGCTTTGTAGGGATGCGAGGTCAATGGTCAAACGACTACGGCATGCACGACTATGAGTACACCCCCTCCCCCCCCCCCCCCTACATCTCCCTCAAGGAATAACGACGTGCGGTTCGACGAAGACACCGGGCTCAACATTGGCCTCAGGCAGCGGGGCGGTCAAATGAAGAGTGGAGGCAGGGTCCAAGGTGCGGTGGGTCACGTAGTCGGCGGCGGCGGCGGCGACGGCGGCGGGGCCAGAGCCGGGGTAGAGCAGACGATCGTGTTCGATGTCCCGGCCGAGCTTCAAGGCCAAGTGAAGAAGGAGTCGGTCTTGCTTGCCGTCAACAACATGCCGGTGAGGAAGGGAGGAAGGGAGGGAGGGAGGGAGGGAGGGAGGGAGGGAGGGAGGCAGGGAGGGAGGGAGGTAGGTAGGTAGGCAGGAAGGGAGGGAGGGAGGGAGGGAGGGAGGGGATGTGGCAGGTACCAATAAGTAATGGCGATGCTTCGGCCCGTTGGGTTTCGAATTATCTCGGGCGGGGGTGGGAGGGGCTTGAGGCGTCAGAATCGAATTCGATCTGCACGGAAGTCGGCCGCAGAACGCTGCCAATCGCCCGCATGACGCTCGTGTGCTGGTCATCTAGTGGTGTGTGATCATCTACAGGAAGACACACAACGTGCTTGAGAATACCAATGGCTCACACCGTATCGCGGAAAAATATTAACGCACGATCCTCATCGGAGTTGTTGGTATCATCCCGGATTCAAACTCTCCAGTCGGGGCGGCGGGACAGTAGCAGGGTAGCTAAAAACTGCAGGCAACGTCCAGTAGATGAGACGGCATTTTACCCGACCAACTACGCCATGCGGTGATGGCTCGTTTCTCCCGTCGTGTGCTACAACACGGCGGGTGCGTCGGGTGGAGGCGTGAAACGTATCCGTCGACGTTCGAAAGCCTCTTGTTTGGAACAGCCAACACATCATTCACAAATAATAAATCCCCGCATCACTCAGCGGAGAAAATATTGTAGACAAAATCAATTTGCGTTCTGACAAATTGTTGTCAGTTTCACGTCTTTGGGCGTACTCCTCTTTTCCTGCATACAACAACCCCAAAGAGCCTCACCCTTTGCCGTGCGATGACTCCGCGCGGATGTTGCTGGTTTTCTGGTGAAGGTGGCGAACATGGGCCACCGGAAGGCCATGGCGCACATCCGGCAGGCGCCCTGGCCGCTGGTGCTGAGGTTCCGGCTCCCCTTGGAGGAGCGCGACGTATTCAGCCTGTCTAAGATCGCCGATATGAGGTACGTATTCATCTGTAGAGGGCTGCTGCTGCGTCATTGGCGCTTAGTGCCGCGTCATTCGGCATCCATATTATAGGGTATCCACTATGGATTGACGCGGAATTTTGACCTTTGAGGATTGACGCCAACATAAAGTGACGGTTGAGGGTTTTGACGGGAAAAAATTCGCACCGCGTGTGCCCGTTGACACGTGAGAGGTGAAAAAAAAAAAATGGTGGAGGTAGAGTTCAAGGTTGGTTCGGGCTGCCACCCAGGGTCGACATTCCGAAGCGAAGACTCACACCCCCAGGCTCCCAGGAGACTAGGTGTACCCCTTCGCCTCATCCCGCCGACCTTCCCTCCTTTGCCGCGGCGACTTTTCCCAGGCGTCAAACTGCGACTTCCCAGGCGTCAAACTGCCGTTCGTTGCTGATGAGTAAGGCAGCTGCTCGCTGCACTGCTGTGTATATACCGATGTCACTGCGGCAGCAGAGCACCGAACCCCGTGAGGGGGCGGGCGAAATGCACCTACTGACTGGCAAAGTCCGTGTACCCCTCCCTTACTCCTCTCCATGTGCTGCCTTCGTGGGCGAGACTCCCCCAATCACTCCCCTGCCTATGCCCCTTTTTGCTGCTGAAAGCCCGTGCGCAATCGCGACGGCGCATCTACCGAACGCGCGCGCCGAACACGCGCGTCTGGCCACTTGGCCGCCGTGAGAACTGCCGAGACGCGTGGGTGCAGGACCGCTAGGAGCAATCAGTATAGGCATGGCCAATGTGTTCGCTGCTGACCGCGCACAGCAGACCGCAGCAGAGCAAGCGTGTGTGAGCCACAGTCTGGCGATGTTTGAAGCGTCAATCTTTTCGCGTCGTTTTATCTTTGGGTGAAATTTAATTTTGACATTTTGACGCTTCCTCACAAAAATTTCGCCGTCAGAGTTTGCCCCCAAAAAAGCGGCGCAACCTCTTCACGTCAAAACTTCCTGAAATGTCAATCTTTCACGTCATTTCAACAACACGTGGATTCCCTCTATTGTGACCTTACTTTGCACCGCGTTATAATTCCGTCGCTACGTCTGGAATGGCTGCCGGGAGTCCTGGGTGTAACCCGCTATGCAGATAAACTCCCAAAGAGTTTCCATAAGATTATTGGAGTTTGCCCTCGTGGTACCCAAACAGTGAAACTAGGGAGATGCCTTGCCTGCTCTTCAACGTGACATGGCTTCCCCGTCGCCCCAAATCACCCTTTCCTTATTCCACGGAACCCAATATTTCATTCTTGTTTTACCGCCCAAATCAAATGGCGGCTTTCTTCAACATACTACCAGCTTTTCATGTACCGAAAGCTTCGTCGACGAGCCACACGCATAACGCCCCCGCACGCACACCAAATAGTGCTGGCCTCTGCAAGCACCCACTCCCTACTATGCCCTGGTGTTCGTACCTCTCCGTCCGATGCACTGGCCGGTATGCGGAAATGGCCTCACCAGGGCGGATGGACGTTTCAGCGAAGACATCGTGCTCGAGCATCTCAAGCGCAAGCTCCTGCGGGGACAGGTGATCATGCCTGCCCACGCATACAATAGTGATGGCAATAATGGTGGAAACATGAAACAGATAAGCGCAGAGGGTGGATGCCAGCACGACGCTCAATTCTACGATTTTTTTCATGTCAATTCCTTGAAGGAAGACGGGTGTGTGTGAGAGAGAGGTAGGGGGGTAAAAGCAGCACGATCTGCTATTCATAGCATCGACGAAGGAAGCGATACCAGGAGAGGGATCGCGAGGAGGGCGAAAATGGCAGATGATGTTGCGCTTTGTCCTTCGACGTTTGAGGCGGGAACCTCGGATTTGAGACGAATCCAGATTTCGGAACGAAATCGGGAAGAGTCAGATATCCCATGCAGCATGTTGGAAAATGACTCTACCTTGTTCAGTCCCCTCTTAGTCTCCCGACATACGCCGGAGTAGAGGAGAAAGAACATTTTAAGACCATCCCACCCGCTCTACAAATACAAATTCTATTCATGAACGTGCTAATCACTCAACGCTTCGGGTCTGGGCATATTGCGGCCTGTATTTCCAGCCCGAAGAGTTACTTCACGGCGAGGCCCTCCTGTCGGTGCAGGAGGCCTCACCCAACCAAATCCAATAGTTGAATACAACAGGAACCTCCAACGAAAATCATTCGCTCACTACACGCAAGGCGCACCGTGTTTTTCAAACGACCAGTTTCTGTGTTGCAACCGTTGTTGCTGTCGCTGCTGATTCACTGCCTTTTCGTCCACCGCAAGCACTCTACCCGTTTGAAATCAACCCAACACGCGTGCTCGCAGAAACTGCTGAGGTTCCCGCCCAGAAAGGCGCTGATCGGGAGCAAGCCGTACCTGACGCTCCTTTCCATCGATGATCACAACCTCTACTACCAGGGGAAGGACCGTGTCAGCCTTCCCGAAGGCTCCCGGCGCGGCATCATGCTCTACAACCTCAAGTGAGAGGCGGGTCGGGGTTGGGCGGGGACGGGGGGATACAGTGCATGTCAGGGGCATGCCAAGAGTGTTTAGAAATTTTGCCTGCAAAGACTCTCACGGTTCAACATAGCGCCGGGGGATATTCGTGGGGGATGCTATCCCATTGGACGGTATCATGAGCGGCAAAGGCGATGTATTACCTGAGGCTCACTCGCATCCCGGTAAAGACGCGACTGGACGTCCGTGCTTCTTGTTGCAGCAGTCAGGAATTGGTACGACTAAGCACGTATTCGACGGAGTAGGGTGACTTCGGTGAGGCGCGCATGCGATGAGTTCCTTCCTACCCCGTCCCTCGCTTTAGCGATCGAAAAAGTCCTCGTGAACCAGACTAGCCTTCACGAATGAATGCGACCTCCAGCGGGCTGGTTCGCTTTCAGTGAATCGGTATAACAAGGCCTTGATCACAACCGTTTCTGTAATCACACCCCTTTCCTGTTCACAACAACATTTTCAATTTTCACAAACTTTGGAAAACTCGCATCCCTAAGCCACTGTGGGGTGGTCCGAGTCGGACAATAGTGTTCGTGACAACGGGCGGGGAATCGTTCATTCGGAGTGAACCTGCCGCCGAAGCATCATGCGGAACACCGGACACCCGTTCTTCGAATGAAACTTGATCGTCGCCTCCAGGGAAAGGTTCTTCCTCATGGCTGAGGTCGCTCTACGGGTCTGTCGTTCCCTTTGAGGTGCTGCCTCGCGCGAAGTAAGGCTTCAGGCGCGCGTTCACGAGTTTAGCCCGATGACAGGTTTCCTAAACAGGATGAGATTCGGGAAAAGACAGCATGAAAACAATCAATGACATTATTTTCAAGAACTGGAAGAGCAAAAACGTGCACGTCATAGACACCCTGTGAGTGAACCACTGCCGCCAGGACACTCCCACTACTGTTACCGACATTCTGTTTAACTTCAAATACGCAGCAATCTCAAAAAGCTGCGAACGTTTGTTCACTGTCGCTGTGCGGAAAACAAATGTGGTGTATGGCGCGTGTGAAAAAGGTTCGTGGTGAAGGGTAAGTCAACCGCGACCCTCAAGAAAAGCGCCCGCCGGCTGAGCGACGACGCCTGCTTCAGCCTCGCGGCCGAGGGCAAGGTACTCAACTTTGCCGTCCCCTCCACCGTCCCCGATGATGGCAAGAGCGGCCAGGTATGTACCTATTGCGGCAGATCTTGGTGGTTAGATGTAGGGGTAGGGGTAGGGATAGGGATAGGAAGCCCACCTCTTTATTTCATAGAAAAAAAAATATCCTCGAGAAGGCGGTCCATGTACAGGGGAAACACGCTTGCACCATAGCGGTAGATACCTTTTTGTTTCATTACATGCCCGTACCTTTACGGCCATGCTTTACCGCCCCCTTCGCTGAGCTCAGATTTTAAATCCACGCCTCATACTGCGCTGTGGGTGAAGAGGAGATTGCATGGTGCGTGGTGATGCCGGACAAGGTAGTTACATAAGGGTCCAAACATTTTCAAGCATGTGAGCTTGAACCCAACCCTGTACAACAACGTGGTATGCAGTCTCCATTGGTTCCCCCATGGAGGAAACAGTGAGCGAGTCTCTCGGGATTCTTAGAGGTGCTCCAAGTGGTGACTCATTCTGAGCTGCCCAGGAGAAACGAAGCACGCTCCTCTTTGTGGCTCCGCCCTGAGGGAGTGATGCCGTATTTTGGCGATTGGTCGCCGAGGTTAGATGCGACAAAGGCTGATGTCTGGGGAACGCCACTTTGGCACAACACCCCCCCCCCCCCTCGCCTCCTTCGGGCCATCCATCCCTCTTCGCTCTGCGAGTACCGAGTACCCACTTAGCTGGAAACCACTACTGTATTTATTCAGCTCCTCCACCCCCGTCTTCCTCTCTTCTCGTGCTCGAACGTGGTCTTCGAAATAAACAGCGCTGTGATCTCTTGGTCTGGGGCCTGCAGAGCTTGATCCGCGAGATGCAAGGCTCCCAGGTGTACGTGGACAAGGACGGAGCCGTGAAGCGCCGCGTCAAGCCGAAGGACATGCTCACAACCATACGCGGTCAGCAGCGGCAGCAGCAGCAACCTCCGCGGCAACAACAACAACCACAGCAACAACATTGGCACTCCAAAACATCGGTGTCTTGAAGGGCGATGGCTGGTTGGAACGGGGACGAAGACTGACTGTACAATGAGCGCTGGGTGCCTCGACGTCGTTGTTGCTGTTTCCATGTGGGCAAGGAAGGGTTTGGGACGAGAGAGTTGAAGGAGAAGCGCCCCGTCCACCAATACCGGCTTCTTTAGCTGCCAGCGGTATTCTGATTGGTCTACCGATAAGGAAGGTCAAAAGTGATGTGTCTTCTATTGAGGGTTCGTAATGTGAGCCCTGACACATCGAAAGGTACTGTGAACAGAGACCATGATAAGTGTCGTGCTGCACTGCTCGAAAATCTCGCCCATGTAGACCATCTCTCTCTTCACGGCGACAGATGAGTTTCATCTTGTTGCTAGGGCCGGAAGTGACATGATATTGACTCGTTTTCCCTCGGCTGTGCTCCCATGACGTACCCCGCGGAGACATCAAAACCGAGCTAAGAGAGAGAAAGGGATGGGAGATATGTCTCGTCCTCCACAATTAGACACTCGACTATCAGCTCTGACTGCAGGTTACCCTCCTTTCACGATGAACGCTTCTGATGAGATATTTTTGTCCGGCGTGGTAAGACCTCTAGAGACCGCAACGATCGGTCCCCTAGAGGGTAGGCAACTAGATCTGAGGATCTGAGGGACACGATATGAACATGTAGAGATTTTTTGCCGAAGCCCCCCAAGATTTCAGTAGACACAAGAAGAGTTGGCGGGGGGGGGGGGGGGGGGGGGGGGGGGGGGAAAAAGGAAACCACAAAAAAAGGGGGGGGGGGTCCCCCCATTAAGAAAAAAAAAAAAAATTTCCCCCCCCCCCAAAAAAATTTGGAGGTTGAAAAAATTGGGCCCAAAAAACCCAAAATTTTGGGCCCCGTTTTTTGGGGGGGGGGGGAAACCCCGGGGAAAAGGTTTCGAGGCCCCCCCGGGGGGGAGAGGGAAAACCTTGGCCCCGGGCCAAAAAAAGGAATTTAACCCCCCGGGGGGGACCCCCCCCGGGGGGAAAAAAAAAAGGGGTTTCCCGCCTCCCATTCCAAACCCTTTTTGGGCCCAAGGCAAAAAAAATTGAGGTTTTTTTTTTTTTTTTTCTTAAACCACCCCCCCGAAAGAAAACCCAAACCCCTTCCTAAAAAAAATCCATAAAAAAAGGGGGGAAAAGGGAGGTTATTT